GTTTTTCTTAATTATATAATTTATTGTACCTTCTGCATCCTTTAATTCAAATCGCTTTGATTACTGTTTTTTTAATTAAAACAAAAACCTCAAGAAATATTAAAATTAATAGTTGTATAAGATTTAAAGAGAAGAAGCTTTTTTCTCGTCATAAACTCCTGAGCATCTTCAACCTGGGTTTCATGCAATTTGTAAATTATTAATACTTTATTAAAGATTAATGAGAAGCAGACAAAATTGGAGTAATTAACTGCCTTGTCATAATTGCAAATGCTTTCGGCATTCATTCCCTCATATTGATTTAAAAAAGTGCCGATTAATTTATCAATGCGAACGGTCTGAAAGAAAAGTAAAATATGGGTTGAAAGATTTAATATTCAATAATAATAAGATTATTTGTAATCATTTGATTTGTTTACAATGTGTTATGAGGTCCGAATTAGCTAATTCTTTATGCCCGATATGCGGAGCAAAATTATTAATAATAACTTGTTACTCTCAACTTCATATTGCCCAGCATAATGGACAATATGTAGTTAAACCGCGGTTAAAGCCTTAACTACTTTAATTCTTGTTAATTCTCTTGTTGGTCATTATTTTTTCACTCAATTGAATGAATTGACTTAATTGTCTAATCATTTATATTCTTATTGTTTTTCTTAATCTCTGTTTATTGTGATCGGTTGATTTCCATTAGGATACAAAATACAAAAACTAGGTAATTGGATTGATAATTTCTTTTCAACCTTTTCTCTTGTTAATTAAACTTTGTATTGTTTTCTGGTTTACAGATTTTTCTATTGTTTTGATTAACCGTTTATCGTTTGTATAGTACTATTAGTGTCAAATATACGTGCGGATAAATCTCCGCTCTAGCAACATTCTGTCTTCTTCTATGAAGCTCCTATTGCTCCATAAGACTCTATGCAAAAATCGACGTTTGCTAGCTGTATCTTCTGATTTAACAGTTTCGCACAAAATCCATACACATGTACGACACTCATATAGAGGCCTATTGGTTTGGTACCGATCAGAGGTGAGACTAATCTAAAGTCTCACCATTTCTTCTATTTGACCTTGAACTATATGGCAGTTCGCACAGTTTCTTCCGGTTATAATAGAAGTACATGCTGATTCTATGGATATTGCAAAAATTTGTAATTTCAAACCAATTTATCTAAACCGTTCTGTGCATGCGAATAAAAGTATATCAAAATGATGTTCGGCATATAAACATCAAGTGATGTGAGTAAAAACATAATTTGACGGTAAAATTCACTTTATTGTAACATTTCATTCATATCCGTTTTAAAAAACAACAGAATCGTAATTTGATTCAATATTTGAAGCTCGAGCTTGGAGCTTGAGGGGTGGGGAGAGGTCAAAAAATTTTCGCCGCTCTGTTTAAGTGCAGAGATGTTTAAGTGGTAAAACTCAGCGTATATTACCAGAGTCCTGTTGGCATTACCCAGCCAGTACCACGAGGAGTTAGGGATGGACTTTACTGACCAATAGGTTAGGCTAGGACTTTTACACAATAGGATGGGCATTAACGTTTAGCGTATTAGGTTAGGCTAGGTATTACAGCGGAGCAGGTTAGTATTAACTAGGCTGGAGGCTCGAGGGGAAAGCTTTTTTGATGGTCGTAATTAGACCTTGGAATGGGTAGACACCATTCTTAGAGCACCATCTCACTCAAGCAGCTCCCTAATACAGTCACATGACAGAACAATGTAGCGCCATCTTATAGTAACTCTAAGCTGAATGCGCAATATTTAAAAACACGAAAAAGTAAAATTATTCCTTGACAATCATCTGCAACATCTGGTTAGATATTACAACATAGAGGTATTGTATATTTCTTTATGAAAAAAGACCCGGATTCAGCATAGTTGGTCTAAACGATCTGATAAGCACTGATGCTGTTCTTAAATTAAATTAGCATAGTATATGAGTCTCAATCAATTTCCTTCATTTTTATGCATAAACTTTTCAGCAGAAAAATGTCACACGTAAACCTTTTGAGCAACTGTTATTGTAACAGTATAACCATAACCAATTACTCTTTGTCTTCTCAATCATGCTTGTATCATCGGTATGGTTTTCAGTTTCTTCATCATTAAACTAGTTTCGCTAGGAAAAAAAAGTGGATATCAATTTCGATTGTATGATATTCATTGTATACGATAGTTAAACCGAGACAAGGGAAGCCCTGTGCGGTTTGATCATTGCTATATCGCTTTCTAACGTTTTATTCAATTGCAATTTGAATTACGCGCTTCTGGCAGCACTATCGCTGATATTTGGCTCCTCCCTTCGACCACGCCCCTCCCTGACAACAACACACCTTAACTTGACAACGCCCCCCAGTGGACAACCCAAGTCATCAGTTGACCAGTGGTCATTTGCAGTTTGGACACCGACCGGACAATATCATTTTTTTCCGGTAAGCATGGCACATGGGTGCATGCTGTGTATGACTTCATACAATGATCATACCGAGACGGGGGCAACCCTGTGCGGTTTTGATTATTGTTATGAAGTCATACATGTATAACATAGCTTCATAAGGGCAACCCAACCGAGTATGTTATACCATGCATACAGTGTATCCATATATATGTGTACGGTGTGTGTATACATGTTCAAATAAACATGCAGCCTGTTATCAACCTGAACATTGTCTACATTATATTTGTATACATACACACCTGTACACACACACACACATATATATGGAAGTTTTGTATGCATGGTATTATACCTTCATTATATATTATCATGTACAGTTTACCTACATTAATTTGTACTTTTCTTTTTTCCTTTTTTCTACCTGTATACTTATATCAGATTTATTAATTCTGCTTTGATTTTGGATTTTGGACATTTTTGACGACCCTTTTTGGAATACGCTTCTATATCGGAATATCTTACAATTGACATACAAGATATTTACGGATAACAATATCACAATTATAAATAATATGTAGAAAGTTAACAAACAACAATCTATTGGACTTGATGGGTTTGATAAACCTGATACTACTGGTTCTGTTAACAACAACAACAACAACAACAACAACAACAACAACAACAACAACAACAACAACAACAACAACAACGATACCTCTGTTGGAAAGAACTCAAAAGATCCTGTAGTTATTTTGGACAAAGACGGCTAAATAAAAGGATAGCCTTACAAGGAGCTGGCCGTAGGAATACTGCAGCATTATTTGCCAACCTGCTAACTCAATTGCTCGATAGCAGCCAGAATAGAGCAGATTGTAAGCAACATACAGAAAAAATGATGCAAGATTGGATTACTTGCAATTTGCGAGAAACTTTGACTCTTGCTTCTGTAAAGAACCGGCAAACAATGATGATGGTGATATTCAAGAGTCATCCATCAACTCATCTTCATCTGATGTTATCAACAAAGATGGGCCAGCTTTCGAAAAGCTCAAAGCGTCCATAAGTAAATGGAAAAAATCAGAGACGGCCGATTACTCATCTTACGATTCACTGGTCGAGACAATTGAAAGAATATGGTACGTCAACAAAAACTGATAATGATAAAGTTGCAAAATTGGATGCAATAAGTAAACAACTTGATGGTATCTCAAATTATAAGTTGCAGCTGTCATTTCAGATCGGTGGATTTCTCGATAAGATTGGTTTCACAAGCTTGATAAAGTCAGCTTACGATAAACTTTGGTCTGGCCGAAAAATAACTCTCTCTTTTCGGGCTGCATTGCGACATCATGCTTTCTATTTAGCTGCACGAGACTATCCAAAGATGTTGAAATCGACGCTGCCTACATCAACCATGCATTCAATATTGGCTTCGTGTTCGTGTGATTATGAGTTCGGACCCAAAAACCATAATCTACTGGCAGGAAAAATTTTAATTTGCACTTCTTTATATTTTTTACTTACTCTTTATAACTTTTAATGCCTCATAATACTTTTTATAACTTTTACTTTATGCTTCGTAAACGTGGAAAGCAAAGCTCATAGAAACTTGTCAGCAGTATCTTTATGAATATTACCTTTTTTCTGAACTACCTCCAGATTATCTTGAAACGTGTTATTTTACCGGTGACCTGAATGACCTTGATCTTTAAAAATTTAGTATCGCAAACTCATACCGTCCAAGTTGTGTATAACTCTCTGACTCTAAGTTGCTGGAAAAATCACAAAAAATCGGTGCAAATAGATATATAGCCCTGTAGAATAAACAGTGCACCAATATGAAAACAGCATTGTGCGTTTTACTCCGTCCAATCATGCACTAAATCAACATTACATATTAAATTTATTTCAAATTGTCATGATTTCATTGATAAGGTTGAAGTGTTCTGTTTTTCCCTTTTGCTAATTCAAGTGTTCGTGCAAAGGTTTTGTTTGCATCACAAGCTCGCGTAGATGCAAACAAAGATAAGATCGTATCACTTTGTTGAAAGTCCAATCATGCACTAAATCAACATTACATATTAAATTTATTTCAAATTGTCATGATTTCATTGATAAGGTTGAAGTGTTCTGTTTTTCCCTTTTGCTAATTCAAGTGTTCGTGCAAAGGTTTTGTTTGCATTGTCACAAGCTCGCGTAGATGCAAACAAAGATAAGATCGTATCACTTTGTTGAAAGTCCAATCATGCACTAAATCAACATTACATATTAAATTTATTTCAAATTGTCATGATTTCATTGATAAGGTTGAAGTGTTCTGTTTTTCCCTTTTGCTAATTCAAGTGTTCGTGCAAAGGTTTTGTTTGCATTGTCACAAGCTCGCGTAGATGCAAACAAAGATAAGATCGTATCACTTTGTTGAAAGTCCAATCATGCACTAAATCAACATTACATATTAAATTTATTTCAAATTGTCAGTTTTAACCAAGTCTAGAGAAAAATCTACGAAAGTCATATATCTTATATAAAAGAAGAAAGCAAAAAGAAATCAAGACCATGAGATTTTCTTGTGGTATTTTACCAAGTAGCATTACAGCAAATCATTGAAAATCAATAGAGTATGTCCATTGGGTTATGTTGGGCTCGTTGTTCATGATGTATGGATCTTGAATAGTTTCGTTAAGAAAGTGATCACGAGGAAAGTTGTGTTTGTTTGAAAAACAACTGCAAGATTGACAATGAGGTTGATCTACGTTAATTCCATTTTCAAGCTTTTGATTCCAAGGTGATGGTAGTGAAAATTGATCAAATAATTGAGAGGCTGGTGGTTCTTGTAAGAGAGAAGGTGGTGATGATGGTGGGGAAGGAAAGAGTGATTGATCTTTCCATTCGTATGTAAATGATGGATTATATTCGAAATACTCTGGATCGTGAGAGAGCGAAGATGAAGGAAAAGGTGTAAATTTCTCTACATCATATGCCGAATTAACATCACATATAATTCTTTGGATCACTTGGTAATTTTCCACGTTAACAAAATGTTTCTGAGAAGATGTCACAGTTTCTTGTGAACTGGAATAAGATTTATCTCCAATGTTTTCAGCAATTCTTTCATATTCACTCGCAAGAAATTCAATATATTCTAATGATTTTCTCAAAATAGCGCAGATTACAGAGAAAATAAAAAAAAAGAAAATCATAATCAAAGAACAAAATTGGAAGGTAAGTTAATACAAACCTGAGTATTTTGAGAGGGACTATCATCAGGAACAATGTTCGCCAAATTTTTGATTAGTTTCTGAAGTTTAGCATGTCTAACTCTGGATTTAAGAAAAATAGAAAATGAACAAGAGCAAACAAAGATAGCGACAAAACAACGAACCTTTCAACTTCTCTGTGTTTAATTTTCTTAAATTCTGCAGTTTCGGCTTCCTTCACCCTCAGCATTGTTGGTAATAACAACTTGATATTAAACAAAAAAAAATAAAAGTATCAAGAGAAAGAAAACAATAGCAATCAAGAAACAAAAAACTAAAGTGAGAAGATTGATTATCAAAACATCTAATTGAATCATTTTATTTTTCCCCATCGGCTGCTGAAGACGAAAAATAGAGAGAAATGACTGATGAAAACAATTAATTTTGTTTATTCACAATATGTTTACTTTAGTTATTTGTTGTCTGCCATCAATTTAGTAATTGGTCACATTGTTGTTATGTTATGTTGCAATTAGTGATGCTTAAATAGATGAATTTATTTTTCAGTAATTATATTTGATTGGAATGAGTCATTTTATTATTAATCAACTTAATCATTTAGACCCAATTGTTTGAAAGATGTGCGAAGATACAAATCACAAAAAGAAAAATAATGATTTCTTGCTCAATTTTAGACATCATCATCTTCATCATGTTGCACTAAAACTAAGGAAACCGATGAGTAAGGCCCTAAGGGAGTAATGTTTAAGATGATTGTCAACCAAACAATACACTACAATAATTAGACGAATTGGTCTAATCAATAACACTTTTGTTACGACCAAGTTAAACAATTAAACGGGTTAAGTCGCTGGATTGCAATCCCACCACAATAAGGCTGTTGCCAAGAATATTGATGATTGATGAGTAATCTGTTTCCAATTTCTTTTGTCTACTTTTTGTCATAAAAAATTCATTTGATATGCTGAAGATTTCAAACAATTGACAATTGTCAACAAAGGAAAACTATATGTTAGTAATATAGTACTACATTAGTACTATACATTAGTTAAGTATTGTAACTATCTCGATTCCATCTGCCAATACTAAAGTATTGGTAAGTCTTGGCTAGTTGTTGTAACTATCTCGATTCTTTTGCCAATACTAAAGTATTGGTAAGTCTTGGCTAGTTGTTGTAACTATCTCGATTCTTTTGCCAATACTAAAGTATTGGTAAGTCTTGGCTAGTTGTTGTAACTATCTCGATTCCATCTGCCAATACTAAAGAAACTGAGTTACAACTCTTTTCGAAAATATTTTATTGGCCCTGAAAAGGGCCGTTTTTATATTTCAGTCATATCAAATATTTATAGTTATTACATAGCATTAGTTAAAACATCAATCAAGGCTACAGATTATATAATAATAGTCTCTTCTGGATCCTCTATCTGGCCAATCATCCAATGGCACTTTTGGAAATGTCGGGTTAACCCTTGAAAAGAGTAAACTCCCTTATAACAGGAGCAGTAGACGCAATAAAATTTCAGTCCAATGTGTTTTCGGATGTGGTCCCGAACTGAATTTGATCTTCCATTTGCTCCACTTTCATTGCATGGTTTCCCGTTCCAATTGCAGTAGTAACTCCCGTTCAAATGCTTGAGGTGGGATCCGACCTTTTCATCAGCTTCTGCCAACTTTATATAGTTTTCGCCATTTTCAAACTTTATTCTATATGAAAAAGTTTTTCTCTCTTTCTTTTTCTTTCCTTCCTCATCTATGGCGGAAACTGAGATGCTGTAGATGTTTTCCCGCCCTCCACACTCATCATTTGAAATATCATCGCTTTTCAATCTTTTATACAACGAAAAACACAATTTTAATAGTTTTTCTTGGTTAATTTCACCTTGATCATCTAAAACAATGGTTTTAAAATCTTCGAATGTATTGGCTCCATTTAACCAATCTGGTTGAAAATCAATTGATGATTGAGGTCGTGATTGTTGTGTCAAAACTTCAACATTTGATTCAGCAGATGGTTGATTTGGTGATTTCGGTTGAACATCGGTTGATGATGATGGTTGATCTTTTTCATTTAGTTCCGATTGTATTTTTGTTTCAGACTCTGATGATGATTGAGGTTTGGTTGTTGGTGTTGGATTAATTGATGATGGTTGAGCTGTGGATGATGATTTTGGTTTGGTTTTTGGTGGTTGATTAATTGATGATGGTTGAGCTGTGGATGATGATTTTGGTTTTTTTCCTTTGGTTTTTTTTCCTTCGGTTTTTTTCCACTGTCGTATTTTTTGCGGCTCTGATGCCAATTTTCGCCGACACTTTTCGACGCCATACGAGCTCACCATTTCGTCAGTGTAAATATCGTTTGGACCTTTCCAACGGTCCGTCAGTGCCAAAGAATATGTAATTTGTTTATTTTTCAAATCATCGAATATCTTCTTTTTAATTGATGGAATATCCTCCTAATATAAAAAGAAATAAAGAATAAATTTTAGTAAGATAATTGTTAGTATTTAAATTCATGATATTTTTAGTTATTTACCTGAGAAAATTCGATGCTTTCTTCGAGACTAATTCTCTCGACGAAAGTGATTACAAAAAATCCACAATCATAACAATTTGATTGTTGGGGCACAGCAGGTTTCTCTCTTCTCCAACTTTGGATGTTTGATTTGATTTTTGATAAAAAGTTTTCAATAATTTGTATGGCTTCTGTATCAATTTCACCATTCACTGAGTCATAAAGACAAATTTTTTGTTGATGAGGGTAAGCAGCGATCAGGAACCAATGGCTTTTTTGTTTATCGGAAAAATAAAAATATCAGCATCATTTTTCACCAGAAGACGGTCGGGTACTTTCTTTCCGGATTCCAGGCTGGAAAACAATAAAGAGTCGTAAATTACCATCTTCGGGAGTTTCAAATGAGCGGATTCCTCATTTCTTTGTTGGATCAGTCGAAGATATGAATTCAAGACACAGTCACCAACTAAATATCCATTAGTAAAAATATTTTCTAAGTCAGAAACTGGCAGCGAAAATTCATCGATTTGGATTATTCCATCCGATAGTGATGATGGCGAAAAAGGTGGAGCTTCTGGTATTGATGATTCCTTTGAATCAACAATTTGGTTGGTTATTTGTTCAATAACTTCTCCAAGAACTTCAACTTGACTATGAGCCTCTGCAATATCTTGGAGAGGCTCATTTTTATCCACCACTGTTATTAGATCTTTTTTGCCTTTAATAAAGATAAGAATAGAATTAAAAGATTAGGAAAGGTTCAGAAAGAAACAAGCATTTTTACCTTTAATATTTTTTTTCCTCCAACTAAATATTCAAATTGTGGAGGGATCATCCTGTCCATCAGCTCTTCCCTTGAATTACCTGGAAAATATATAAAAGATGAAAAAAAATAAGATTGTCGAAGTTGTTAATAACTAGTTATTCTTTTGACAAGAATAAAATATTGACGTCGATTGGTCGAAAAAGTCGAAAAACTTACCAGTGGTTAGAAAAATACATTGTTTTCCATCTAGTAAAAACTCATCACCTTCATGATGAACTTTATCTAATTTATTTGAAGCACATACACATTTTTTTCCATAATTGTTGATGAACAAAACGAAAGTATCACTGTTTTTATTTGATGACATGTTTAGATAAAAATTGAAACAAAGTAACTGAAAGTAACTGAGAGTTTAAAAAACTAGCTGATGCACGCATGCTCCCTCTTGTTTCATCTTTCTTCAAAATAGCGCGAAAATCAAACGACTAGTTTTTAAATTAATCAGTGGGCAGATGAGCGACCACACCTAATCTTGATGCTGCTGATAGATCACTAAATTCAGGAGGAGGTAGAGGTGGTGGAGTTGAGCTTTTTCTGATTAATTGTTGATTAGCTTCTCAGGCTAAATTGTTATAAAGACAAGTTTGTTAGGGAGTTGGTTTATGGATAATATGAACTTGAGCTGATTGTTAACATTTGAGGATAATTTTGATTGCATATGTTGATGGTGTTGTTTTGGTCCTATTGGTGAAATTTTATGTATGATCGATTCATTTCACGAAATTAGGACAATCCAATGAGTTGATACCATGTCCACCAAAGCAAAAAGTGCAGCTTTCGGACTCTAGTAGTTTATTGATTAAGTGGGCGAATTTATGATTTAAATAAAAGTCTTAGTCACGATTGACTTAATTATTGTGAATTGTTTAGAAAGATAATAATTTAAAAATTAAATGGATTATGTACTGATTTTAAACAATTTAACAGACTCCTAATTGCTGACGTAAACTATCCAATGATCAAAAAGATTACATTTATGATGAAAAGGATTAAAATTAATCATTACAATCCATCATTTTACATTCACTCAACTAAATTATCGTTTCACTTTATTTTCATTCAACTTCTCGTACCGTTAACATTTTATTTTTAATCAACAAATTTTCAAACTTTTTATCACTGTTATGCCTCCTCAAACAAGAGGCAATAAAAGAAGAAAACCCTCATCACCTCAACCGTCAACATCCCAAACCGGAAACAATGACTTTATTTGGAAGAATTTAGATTCTTTTGAAGATTATTCTAACGAGTGTAAGAGGAATATAAATATATATAGGAATATAGGAATATATATTTGTCCTTACAATTTAATCATACAGTTTAATTGTAAATAAAACCATTTGTACACTTGATTAGGTTGACAGTTAACAATAAGCTAACAATTAATTAATGACAATAAAATTAAAAAAGTTACACCCAGAGATTGAGATTTAGTTTATGACAAAAAGTAGACAAAAGAAATTGGACACAGATCACTCATCAATCGAAGATTTAGTTTATTAAATTCGAAGAACTTTATCGACTTTAATTCATTTGTAAGTATTGGATTTGTTTGTTTTAGCCTACATGGTAGATAAGCATTTTTCGATGATTTGTTGAATTTGTTCTTCAGAAACTTGTTTGTAATGTTTACGGATGTAATCTTGCAACATTTTAGCAGTTGGTATACCAGTTTTAGTGTCGAATAGTTCTCTACTTTCAACGATCGAATTGATAATGTCCTGACTTTTAGATGCCAATGACAATCCCAAACGAAAAGCTTTTATTATTTTCAGTTCATCGAATTGTTCGTAAGCTTTTGGATTTCGTAGATAATGCATAAAAATTTCGAGCGGGCTATATTCTTTTTTTTCAGGAATGCAATTGAATGCTATAAAAATACCAATATGAGCCTCTGAATCGCCATTCTTAAATTCTTCCAAAATATTCTGACGACAAGTATCGGACTGTGTAAATTCTGGCTGAGGCGCATGATAACTGTAATTGTCGGTCACGTAAGTGTCTTCTAACTTTAAAGGAGTCATATTGCCCGAAACGCTAAGGAGAAGAATGAGAAGTATTAAATTATCAGATCGGCGCATGAAAAGATTGAAGAAATGGGCAAGAAAGACTAGCTCAGTTCTAGTTTAATTTTAGTTATCTTACTACCTTTTGTCTACGGTTGAGGTAGCGAGACCAATAAGTTTACGGACGTATATGAAACATTTCGGTTGAGAAGCATAACTCGGGGCAATAGCAATAGAGAGAACCTTTTTATCTCGGTCAAGTTGGGCAAGAGCACATTGTTGCTTATGAACTCTCCTTATGAAATCTTTTTGGGAGACTCGTTGAATTTCAACATGGTAAATAATATCTCCTATTGTGATTACAACATCAGGCCTTACAGTTCCTTGCCCATGCAGATTACTATGCAAAGATGGAAAACCAGGATCACCTATAAAACTATGCTCATCTTTTAAATCCAACAGTTGTACATCCAAATATTGTTGTACATGAAAAAGGAAAAGTTTCAAGATGCTCTGATCATTTATGAACACAACCCGAAACACCACATCGTGGAGAGGACCATGGTTTGACACATTCTTATCTTTCTTATGACTTGGCCGCTTGGCACATTTCCTTTTTGGTTTATCCATTAGTTGATAACACAAAATTCACGCAAAATGACACTACTATTCTACTTTAAGCCTAAATAGCCAGAAATGGGATCAAGTCTTAACGAATTCAGTTAAGGCAAATTTTGAGATCAAAATTCAGAAGCACTGATACCACATGACCAGAGGCTTTTTCTAGGGACCATTGAAAAAATTAGTCCAATTATCTGGTATTACTTTTCCACACAAGAAACAACTCAAAAGATGGCAGAAAATTCTCGCCATCTATCGGACTGGAACATTTGTCTTAAACAGCTGGTGCTTTTTAGTGATTGAAGAGCGAGAATCTCGCTGTGCGTTTAAAAATCTGTAAACACGACTAATTGTTGGCCATTAAGCTTGGTACCAATGCTAGCATGTAAAAAGGGCAACCATTTTAAAAGAAAGTACAACAAAAATGTGGTGAGTATTATGGTTTCCTGTTACTCATTTACCAATTTCCAATTTTTTTTCTACTTTTAGGACACTAAGATTTGGTCAGAGCTTCAACTCTTCAAAAAATACAAATTCAACGATGATTACCTGGATCCTCGGGAATATATCGGATTTAAGGGAATAGTTGAAAAAAGACCTACCTTTTTTGCAGCTTTTATTTCTTTGGTTAATAAAGTGATTCCAGCGGAAGAATATCAAATCAAATTTGAAGGATCTTTGACAGCTCGTTGTGTTAAAAATAGTTCATTGGCGATATGTAAATCCGAAAATAGTATTGAAATCGTAATTGATTTCCGGAAAACTTTTTCCACTTATGGACTAGAAGATTTCCAATATGTTATCGCTCTCAATACATCTTTCGATTTCCCGGATATTCTAACCTTTGCGACTTTGAACTCAAATGGAAAGATCAAGACCGTGAAAAAATTCAACTCATCTTGTAAAAATCGATATTATTTCATCAATGTTGACAATTGCACAAATCTTGAAAGCCCATTACATAAGTTGGCATCTGCTTTATGTGATCCGCAGAAAATGTTCGAAGAAACGCTCAGGAGTAAAGAAATTGGCTCAATTAAACCATGTCTATCTACAAAAAACTGTTGGATGCTTTTGATCGAAGCTCAAATCTGCCACATAAAGGAATCACAAGATGAGCTTGATCAAATGGTTAGTTTAGGTAGATATTATTTCAAAGTTATTTCTTAATGCTTTCGTTGTAATTAAGAGAATTTAATCGCTTAATCTTTTGAAATTTAATAAAGACATTTTATTTACACTGATATAATTAAAACTGTGACAGTCTTTTCTTCACAATTATCTAGTTTTCTAAATGAACCAATCAATTAATCTAATCATCTTAATCTCTTTGATCATTAGGTTTGATTCGTTACCCGATCTGGTAACGAATTAAATCCTCTTGATCAAGAGATTAGTTCATTGATTAATTGATTGATTAATTTAGAAAACTGGTTCTTTTGCCAATACTTTTTACTTGGCAAAAGAATGGATCAATCAATCAATTAATCAATGAACTAATCTCTTTGATCATTAGGTTTAATTTGTTACCAGATCGGGTAACGAATTAAATCCTCTTGATCAAAGAGATTAGGTTAATCAGACAAAAAGTGTATAAAATGTTTACTCAAGCAATCAATTAATTACAAAACTCTTTTCGAAAATATTTAATTGGCCCTGAAAAGGGCCGTTTATTTATATTTTACTTACTGATTATATGATAATAGTCTCTTCTGGATCCTCTATCTGGCCAATCATCCAATGGCACTTTTGGAAATGTCGGGTTAATCCTTGAAAAGAGTAAACTCCCTTATAACAGGAGCAGTAGACGCAATAAAATTTCAGTCCAATGTGTTTTCGGATGTGGTCCCGAACTGAATTTGATCTTCCATTTGCTCCACTTTCATTGCATGGTTTCCCGTTCAAATTGCAGTAGTAACTCCCGTTCAAATGCTTGAGGTGGGTTTCGACCTTTTCATCAGCTTCTGCCAACTTTAAATAGTTTTCGCCATTTTCAAACTTTATTCTATATGAAAAAGTTTTTCTCTCTTTCTTTTTCTTTCCTTCCTCATCTATGGCGGAAACTGAGATGCTGTAGATGTTTTCCCGCCCTTCACACTCATCATTTGCAACATCATCACTTCTCAATCTTTTATACAACGAAAAACACAATTTTAATAGTTTTTCCTGATTGATTATACCCATATTTCTTTCAATAACAACACTAAAACTTTCAAATGTATCTACTTGTCCAATACAGCGAAACCAATCATTTTCTTGAGGTGGTGAACAAGAGGTTGAGGGAAGTTGAGGTGATGGTGGTGAAAAAGAGGTTGAGGGAAGTTGAGGTGATGGTGGTGAAAAAGAGGTTGAGGGAAGTTGAGGTGATGGTGGTGAAAAAGAGGTTGAGGGAAGTTGAGGTGATGGTGGTGAAAAAGAGGTTGAGGGAAGTTGAGGTGATGGTGGTGAACAAGAGGTTGAGGGAAGTTGAGGTGATGGTGGTGAACAAGAGGTTGAGGGAAGTTTATTTTTGCATTTTACGCAATTATGCGAAAAACTATTTTGAGCATAACTTACCTTAGGCTGTTTCCTTAATCTTGATTTTATTGGTGTCATTGTGATTGTAATGAAAAAACAATAAAAAAATTAATTAATAACAATTAAATGTGATGTTGACTGTTGGAGAGCTGACTAGTGAATGACGGTGAAATTTACTAGCTAACGAAATGTTTCAGAAACTGAGTCTGCGTAAAACGTATGCGCACTAGGCACTGCGCAATTAATCAATTATTCAATTAATCTAAATTAATCAATCAATTAATCAATGAACTAATCTCTTTGATCAAGAGGATTTAATTCGTTACCCGATCTGGTAACAAATTAAACCTAATGATCAAAGAGATTAGTTCATTGATTAATTGACTGATCTTTTTCTTATCATGATCAAATTTGTATGATTGTTACAAAGTTGATAATCAATGAGAGTTACATAATCAGATCGTTTAGTAGTCGTCACCGAAAAAAGTCTTTACGAAAAGATTTGATTTATTGCACGAATTATAATTGTTTCTTAATCATTGAATCAAATTGTTTAACCATTTATTGTTTAACCATTACAAAAAAGTTAGTTTAAATTAGAATCAGTTAAAATTTCATTGAAAAGAAAGATCGAATTAACTGAAAATTCGAAAGCATCAACTATTTCCCAATGATATCATATGGATCATCCATTGCTATGGTACTAGCTTCGTCATCTACTGAGACATCACTACTTTCTTCGTCACTCACGAACTCTCTGGACTTAGGTCCAGTTTCAATCTTTTTTCTTTTAATTGCTCCTTCCACTTTCTTCTCGTCAAAACCACGTAGCCAATGGCCAATTTGATTCAGGTGTTTTTTGTATCCCTGGAAATTGTCGGTCCTGTATGGACAGTAACCACATTTAATCTTTATATTCATGACCTTTCTTATGTGAATATGGATTAAGTTGGATTTTCCAGATATCCTACATGGGTTGTCCGGGCAACGAACCGTCCCTTTACACATTTTAGGCCTAACGATATTTGCGTTATCCCCGGTGTATTGTGCCATTATCTTGTCCATCTCCGCACGAGTCATTAGAGCGTCTTTTTCGTCTACTATTTGATAATAAAATTTTTTTTCAATACCGTTTTTAATAACTGGAAGAACAGAAATTTTATCTTGGATTATTTTTTGAGCATCATATTTGACTATGCCCATGACAGCCGAGTCAGATGCGATTGTCGGATCCAGTTTTGCCACTTCACGTGCAATAAGATAAGTCAATTTAAGAAAAAAATCCTTGTCGTTTCCTTTTATATTCCTCTTACACTCGTTAGAATAATCTTCAAAAGAATCTAAATTCTTCCAAATAAAGTCATTGTTTCCGGTTTGGGATGTTGACGGTTGAGGAGGCATAACAGTGATAAAAAGTTTGAAAATTTGTTGATTAAAAATAAAATGTTAACGGTACGAGAAGTTGAATGAAAATAAAGTGAAACGATAATTTAGTTGAGTGAATGTAAAATGATGGATTGTAATGATTAATTTTAATCCTTTTCATCATAAATGTAATCTTTTTGATCATTGGATAGTTTACGTCAGCAATTAGGAGTCTGTTAAATTGTTTAAAATCAGTACATAATCCATTTAATTTTTAAATTATTATCTTTCTAAACAATTCACAATAATTAAGTCAATCGTGACTAAGACTTTTATTTAAATCATAAATTCGCCCACTTAATCAATAAACTACTAGAGTCCGAAAGCTGCACTTTTTGCTTTGGTGGACATGGTATCAACTCATTGGATTGTCCTAATTTCGTGAAATGAATCGATCATACGGTAAGACTCTAGAACACCACCGTTCGCAAATCGTCTTGAAACTTTTTCAGTGTATAGCCCTCAACATACTGATCATACATATGGATGGAATTTCTGCGAAAACTTTTGGTTCAGAAGATACAGGTAGTCAAAAATCTATTTTTACATAGGAGTCTATGGAGAAAATGAAAGTTTTCTACAGCATGACAAAAAATTTCTAGAACAATGTTTTTGATACCATGTATACATATAGGTATGATGATGTCATGTGTGAAAATTCAAGGTTCTGGGTGCCTTGGTTGTGTAGGTAAAATTGGATGAAAATTGTATTTTCAATGTTTTCATAGATTACTATCGAACCGAAGGTCGGTCACACTCGAAATTTAATACATATTATTCTCAAGGTCAAAATCACTAGTCAAGGTCATTTCAAGGTCATCGAAGGATGATCAAATTTTTAACCTGTAAACAGCAATTTACTTGTGTTGAAGTTAATTATTCGAGATTATGGTGATTAATATGCATTAGATGGAAGCACTGAATTTATTGTACGTCAGCTGAATTTTCAAGTAGCTTGAAATGAAATAAAATTATAGAAAATCAATATCTCAGGCTATTTCATGCGTAGTGTGTGTATTACTTGGTACAGGATATGTATCTAGGGATACGTATTCAAGACTTTGGTTCACATTTTATCAAGTGCAAACTAGAAGTATTCAAGATTGCACTGAGATTTGCCAAAGTCTTATAATGTGACTTTCAACAACTAACCAGACCTTATTTTGGCAAGTATCCGTCTTGTTTTTTTGAGCAAAGTAGTTTCTGAACAAGATTCGAACTATTAGCTGTTCATACAGACACAACCAATAGATGCTTTTCCTTGTGACTCACAAGTAGTTCAAACACTTTTAGATGTAGAAAAGAATAGCTAGTACAATCACTTAAACACCTCTGTGGGCTGACCGCGAAATTTTTCATGTGCGACCACACCGTTCATTTCAGGAACCCTTGCATCATTTGGCTATTAATCTTAGCATATCCTTTTTGATTCTACGATCATACAGCTCATAACATATATTATTCAACTAATTTTTCATCAAACTTATACATCTAGAAGTCTATGTATCATTAATACGTCCATTAGTTACCTCTAACATTGAAATATCCAGCATAAATGAGACTCAAAACAAAAATATAGTGATAACCTTGAAATGACCTTGACCGGTAACTTTGACCTTGAGAATAATATGTATGAAATTTCGAGTGTGACCGACCTTCGGTTCGATAGTAATCTATGAAAACATTGAAAATACAATTTTCATCCAATTTTACCTGCACAACCGGCACCGAACTTGAATTTTCACATGACATCATCATACCTATATGTATACATGGTATCAAAAACGTTCTAGAAAGTCTGTGCTTTCATTTTCTCCATAGACTCCTATGTAAAATAGATTTTGACTACCTGTATCTTCTGAACCAAAAGTTTCCAGAAATTCCATCCATATGTA